CTCCCAACGTGGAAACTGAGTCACTGAAAACCAATGTCAGAGTGTGTGGTGAAGGATGGTGGGGCACGTCTCCAAGGGACATGGTTGGAAACCCACAGAATGGAGCTACAGGTTCAGGTGACACAAGATTCGATCCAGTATATCAAGCTCGAGAATTATGTGTGATCCAGCCCAAGAAATCTATGTATGTATGATTTGCCTGAATTAGCGTGGTTTTCACGAAAGCTAGCCTTAGCTAGCTGGAGTTGCTCTTGCTTTAAGCAAGTTACGTGACGGGGTGGACGCACCTCAGAAACCTCAAATAATTGATTAAATCAATCTTATGGACCCCCCCCCCCCCCCGCGGTTCGACTCCCCCCTGCGCGCGGTGAGCGGGACCACCAAGCAGCTGCAGCACACCAAGCATCTGCAGCGCCCAGCGCAGCAGCGGCAGCAGCAGCAGCACCAGCAGCAGCAGCAGACCACCCAGCGGCGGCAGCAGCAGCATACCCAACGCCGCGGCAGCAGCAGCCGCAGCAGACCACCCAGCGCCAGCAGCAGCAGCAGACGACCCGGCGCCTGCAGAGCACCCAGCGCAGCAGCGGCAGCAGCAGCACCAGCAGCAGCAGCACCAGCAGCAGACCACCGGAAGCCCGGCTAGCTTTCGTTCACCCCCTCTGGCCTCAAGTTGGATTTTCTTTTTATTAATAAAGCACGTTTTAAAGGTCAATGTAAGTAAACTGTTGTATATTCCATACTAGACTTATGAATTATTGACAATTCATTATTGTTATATTATGCATACAATAATTATTTGACTTTTTGATTTACAAAAAACAGCATGATTTGAAATATTCATACGCCCCAGAGGAAAAAGTCAACACCCCACAAAACTTATTTAACCCGGATGTGTTTCATACCCAAACACTGCCAGACACTCGTATGGAATAATATGGAAAACAGCCTACATTGACCCCCCTGGCACCACCGGAGACATGCACGTTTCGCGGCAAATTTGGTAGACCCAGAGCTTGGGATTGGGTCAGCACGGTCGGGGTGGTTCATGGACACCCCTTCACCTCTTTTCGGGGCTATAGACACGTTCCACGTTCGGCGGAACGTTCCGTTCGCCGTGCGAGTGGCTAATGGGCTAATGGGCGACGTCGCTGCGAACGCGGCGGCGTGGGGAAATGCTGCGAGGTCCCGGGAGGACACGACCTGTTTGGGACTGCCATCATTGGCCGATCAGGGCTGGTGCCAGTGGGGTCAATACCAGGACACCCTGAGGGGTGTCTATCGATAGCGTCTTAAAGGTTAAGGGGTTTCCATTAACCACACGTTGTGGGTGCTAGTATACAGTATATAAGCATTCTAAGTTAGTATATGTTGCAGACATGGAGTGTTCGCCCCCAGCTTGTCGCCGACGTGACGCTCTCAGGTGCTTGCGACAGCACACAGCTGCACGGATCGGTCGGAAGAGCCCAGCGCCGGGAAAAGCAGGGTGTCAGAGTCATGGGTACAGGACCTACAAGCCTCATGATAGACTTGCCCTAGGGCTCCAGATACCTTCTGAGAAGGTGTTTGGGGTGGGTTTAGAGGGTCCAAATACCTCTGAGGAGGCACCTGGAGCCCTAAGGTTATGTTTTTTGTTTGCTTTTATTCTCCACTTGTTCTTCGTCAATGATTCTTAGAACTTGGCTGTAAGTGGCAGAGATAATGATAGACTCTTCGATATGAGTTGGAGATCCTCTTCATATGGGGTGGTTTATGAATCAAGAGTCTAGATTAGGAAACTTGGTGCCAAACTGAGGTCAAATTACTATTATAAAAATATATTTCTATATCGAGTGCTGAAGCACGTCAATTACGGAATATTGTTCAGTGCCATTGGAGAACTGACTTCTATAAATTTCGTGCAATTTTATGAGTAACTGTTCACTAATGTATTGGCTGCAGATTGAGCTGCATTTGTCTCCACATCAAGCGGCGTTGTTCTTGACAGTCCAGGTGCACAAGAGGCAATCTCGCAATCCTTTCATCAAGCACATGAATCATTGCAACGGCTGTTGTTTATCAGAATACAGTGACACTTCACTATGCTGTCGCCACCTCACCTGACGGCTTGTGTGGGTATCAACTCTTACTGTAACTTGTTGGGTGTCTTTCAGAGATTGAATGTGCACATTCCTCAACAGGCTTCTTGCCATTCACGCCACAAGGTCCTTGCACATGTTGGTACACCGCAGCCACTGCATTTTAGTGCTTTGGTACTCGGATTCGTGGTTTCATACATCGTGTTGTGAAGGAAGATTCAATGCCTAAGGCCTTCAGGCCAAGGCCAAGCTGGGCCTAGCTGGGCCGCTGCGCTACCCAGCTCCTTTGATCCATTTGACTGCCGATCGGATCTCATGGCCCAGACGCGACGGTCCAGGGTCCGGACCCGAAGCAATCCCTAAGGATAGGGACCGGTCGGCCTGTGAACGGAGCCTTGATGTTCGAATATCCTACTCACGCAGATGCATCGACTTCAGCTCGCTCCACATTCGTCCTGGAATCGTTCTTGCGACCAAGAGCCACATCCCAGAGATCAGCCAGCTGCTTGCGGCAAAGATTAATCCCCCCAAGGGCGGTAGGGTAGCGCCTGCCCTTGTTGACTTGGAACCTCAACTCTTGCTTGCATCATATCGACACGTTTTGATGCCTGCATCAGACGTGTCTTAGAAGCTCACCATCCCTGTGCATCCCAAAAGGGCATGCCTTCACATGCCTTCAGATGCTGTCTTCGTTGGCTCCCGATGTGGAAAGAGCCGATCATGGAAGCCGGTGCTGGGGTTTCTTCGGACAAAGCAAAGACCTGGGCCAGACACTGCCAGACACTGCTGGGTCACCAGAGTCTGCATGGATCTGCATGGATCTTGGGTCACCGTGTGCAGGGCTGGCGTTGCAGGGCATTGTGATTACAAAGCACGGCTTGCCACCCTGAATTGCCTTCAACCCTCGGTTGATTGCTGAGAACTTGCATGCTGTACCAAGGGACAGTTTTGACATGTCAGGGTGGCCTGCAGCAACCCATCCCTGAGCATGTCATCAAGTCCACACGCGCAGCAATGTCGCTTGCCATCATCCCCATGCGTACTTCTTGGGTTGTCACCACCAAAATTTCCCACCAAAACATAGATCATATAAGTTTTCAAATGTTTTCAATTGAAATCAACGGGGAAGTTTGTGAGATCTTGATTTAGGCTGCCAGTGTCGCAGGCTCTTGCCGCCAAAAGTGACGAAGCTCACATCACGAAGCTTGAAGAACGATTCGACAAGCTCGAGCACAAGCAAAATCAATTCGAGTGAAGGGTGGATGGCAAGCTTGATCCAATCCAGGATTCACTGAGACAGCTTATAATTAGATGCTTATAGGCAAACACTAATCCGCGCGGCCGTGAGGCAAGTGGAGAGACAAGGGGCCATCCAAACCGGCCAAGCAAAACTGATGTGCGGGAGAGAGGGTCCAGCCTTTGCACTGATCCTTTGACTGATGTGTTTTGCTTGCTGTGTGTTATCACTGTTTGTTTGCTAATAAACAATATGAAATTGATTCTCGCACTTTCTGCACTTTCTCCTCTTTGGGTCACATGGTTCATCATG